ACTGAAAAGAGCTTGGCCCCATCCTCCTGACACCCACCCTTCAGATATTTATAGGCATTTATAAGGTCCCCTCTCAGCCTTCTCTTCTTCAGGCTAAACAAGCCCAGCTCCCTCAGCCTTCATCAGACAGATGAAGACAAGCACTTCCTGAGAAGCCAAGCAAAACTGTCCTCTACCATCAGCCAGAAGCCTGAGTTTTTTGTTTTAGCTCCACCTTGTCAAATTACAGAACTACAGAAAGAACTGAAATAGGACCTGAAAGAGTACTAAGTGCTATGTAAGTCCTTAGGGGAATCTCGTTAAAGCCCCTTTCTAGTTCCCTGTTTAAAAATAGGGAAGTCTTTTGTGTGGCAAAGTTCGAACGTACTGTTTTCTGTGGAGCAGCCTGTTTTGTGATTCAAACCCCTGTGATTTCAGGGAAGAGCGTGCGTCTTTCATCCAGCGATGGGCGTGCTAGCTGTGATGCAGAGTGCTTTGGCCTCTGGAGTACAGGAAGGTACTGCGGTCTAACATGTCGCAATTTTTACTGTTATATACCGAATCATATTAATGAACAGTACAATCCTGATTAAATCCCTGCTTCAGTGTGAGGATTAGTGAAATATGAATAAAACTCATGTGGACTCCTTGGGAGGTTCTATGATTCGCTATTGGCATGGACCTCATTCAAGATGCTGCATGTTATATTAGGCACTTCATGTTATTTAGAAATGCTGGAGGAAATATCTTGAAGTTTGACTAATTAGAAATAGCATTGGTAGCAGATGGACAAGAGAAAACACTGTAGAAAAGTTGATTGTGTGTCTTTGATTTCTTACAGACTTACAGTGCAGGCTGAGCAAGGTCTTCTAATTCTGGGAAAAGGTTTTGACATTAAGCTGTGTTGTGGAGCACAAACCCAGTTTTTGGTGTGTGTTCATGACTATCAGGCAGTCTTTGGAGATTTTCAGCATATACTCTGCAAGCAAGAGTAGGTAACTGTCCTTCATCTTGAACCAGACTGTCTTGGCAGTACTCCCAGGACTCCAATCCAGTGAGTCCCCGCCTAATGAACTGAAGGCCACCTTCCTGATAATTAAGAGGAAACAAGCTGCCTGGATTTTATCCAGCTTTGGATTTTTAGGCTGCTATCCTGTGCACGGAGTGATTTGTGTTAGGTAGTGAACTGCTCAAAAGTTGTTACCCCATAAATCTGGTAGGTTGGAGGGGAATTTCTTCAGTTTTTGGTTTGTGGCATGTGAGGAAATCTCAAGAATATTCATGTTTCTGTGACTGCCAGACCTTTTTTTTTGAGCATACATGGTTTTATTCCAGCTTGGATAGCATTTGTACTGTAAATGCTCTATGCCTAAAATAGTAATAACACGGATTTGCAAGGTACCAGGCATTCTGTGTATTGATTCGCCTAATTATGCCTAGATAAAGTTTCAGTGTAGTGACCCTATCAGGCGTAGGCATTTCACAGATGCCTTCTTTTTGACAGTATCATGGGAAATGATAGCCCCAGTGATCACGTGTTGTTCCAAATTAGCTTATATTTGAGGTAAACGTAACTCCTTGAAGTAGTTTCAGGGTTTTGCACAAATGGTGGATCTCAGCAGCGGAGCCAGTTGGCATTGCCTTATTGTATCATGTGTGGAATCAGACAAGTTTTCTCTTGTTGTGTGCTCAGATAAAGCAGAAAGTTGGTCTCCTTCCTCTGGGTTGTTCTTCAGTCCTTACGTTCACTTACAGCTCTTCAAGCTCATCTTCCATGTGGTCCAGTCAAAACTGGATCTAGAAACAGTATGGGACTTGACAGTTGCAAGCATCAGAGACCATGATCAGTTATTTCTCGTTGCTACCATTGCGCAAGGTTGCTTTTGTTTAAATAAAAACTACATGTGAAATTGGGATTTTGAGGTGCAGGGCTCTCTTGCTAGTTCCTTCTGCAGTGGTGGGAACTGGTGAGATGTTAAAAAATGTGTTTCCGTGTCAGAAACTTCGGAGGTCCAGTAGTATTTGAGGTCTAGTGTGGAACTACCACTTGCCATGCAGGGAGTCTCCATGCACCATGGTTCTAATCTGTGTTTCATAGATGAAGAGAAGTACATCCTGACAACCTGGAAAAAAAATTTTCAGTGATGCTCAGCGACAAGACAAGGGGTAATGGGCACAAACTGAAGCATAGGAAATTCTGTCTGAACATGAGGAAGAACTTCTTCCCTCTGAGGGTGATGGAGCACTGGAACAGGCTGCCCAGAGAGGTTGTGGAGTCTCCTTCTCTGGAGATATTCCAGACCCACCTGGACAAGGTCCTGTGCAGCCTGCTGTAGGTAACCCTGCTTCGGCAGGGGGGTTGGACTAGATGACCCACAGAGGTCCCTTCCAACCCCGAACATTCTGTGATTCTGTGAACTTTGGTGCGGCTAAACCAGGGAAGTGACATTCTTGCTGTACGAGGGGAAGGGCATAGCTGTCATAGGTAGGGATGTTTGCAGGGACATGTGGCATGCTGGCGTAGCTACAGTGGCTAGAGATGGTCTGTTTTCATGCTCCAGCCTGATAGTTGTGCTGGCAAAACTGTAGTCTTGATTTGCCCTGAATGGCATGAAGAAATATTTCTACAGCTCCATCGCGAATGAGCGGGTAGGTCACTTAAATGATCGCTCAAAGGTTTTGCAAGAAAAGATTTTCCTGAAAATTTAGAAAATGTAATCTTACAAAGTTCATTGGCAAGGTACTGATCAAATGAATGGAATACAAAATCGAAGGAGGTTTTGAGTGGAAAACTATTTATATGGAGTAAAAGAAAAGGGTAAGGGAGACCCTCCTATTGAGTCACCAGGTTCGGACTTGAGTGATTGAAAAGAATTTGCTATTACAATCAAAGTAATAGAATATTATGTTTTGAATCGATACACACAATCATAAAAATTCCCCTCAAGTTCAGTGAAATACTTCAAATCAAATGATTTCTCAACAGGTGAAGGTTGAGTCTGGAGATCAGCCCAGGTAGTTTGCGAGTTACTGAGAGGCATCTCACCCAGAGGGAGTTACTGGGCGCAGCCCACTGCGGACCAGAAGAGCTCAAAGGGCCTTCCTTTGGTACTGCTGTTTGCAGTGTCTCAAGATGATTGACTTTAGGCATCAGTGATTTTCCGTCCTGGTCACAATCTACATGATGCAATCCTGATATTTAGACAGAAACTGTACAGTTCTAATACGATCCAGAATGTACAGTTCTGACATTTACCAAGCGGGTGCAACTCCAGGCATCAGGAGTTTCAGGTGCAGTCAGGGAGCGCCTGATCAGCCCAACTCACTGCTCTTGTACAAAGACGAAGAAGGTGCCAAGTTGCCCCGATTCAGTGCACACCAGCTAACTATTCTTACAGTGCAAGCAAGAATACAATGTTGGCTGATTCTGGGATTGCCAGGTGGGGGGGCTGCACCACCACAAGCTCTTTTTCTCTTGTAAAATGCTTTGTCATATGCTTTATGACCTGGTGGTTCTATGCTTTGGAAGGGGTACACGCATATTGATTGTTTTTCATGCCATGTTTTGAGTGTAATACATTATTTTATGATTATATATGAATTTTTATTCATTTCATTATTCATAGCTTCTTATTTCCTGATACATCAAAGGAATAGATAGAGCATGACTAACATTTTTTGTAGTCTTACAGTTACTGATTGTATGTTAATTTTAGAATTCACTCGTATTTGAAGTGACACTATTTCTGGTTTTGAATATAAAACATGTTTACTAGCTGAAAACCATAAAATTGACTTTACTTGGAGTGATGAGTTAGAAATTATAAAAGCTTACCTCTTCTTGCTGACAAAGCAATCCATCTAGAGTTGTATGCAGTTTTTGGTGTATGTGTATTTTAAGAATGCACTGCCGTTTGACAGTTTACATTTTTCCAACAAGTACTTTGCCTTGATGTATTTGGTGATGTTTGTGTGTGTGTCCATCTTGGGGAATTATATGTGAAATGTAATTTTCACTTGGAAAAACTCAATAAAAATAGCTTCACTTACTTGAGCTTAGCAACCAATGGAGAAGTATGTACAGTGTTTGTATCACTATTTTTTAATGCCGTAATTATGCATGGGATGAAATAGGTCCTTAAGAATGGTATTAGGACTGCTTTTTGAGCAATGATTTGAGCATTGCATTCAGCAGTGACATGTAGCAAAATGTGGCAGGGCATCTGAGCATAAGTCACCATCTAGTGTGTACCATTGGGAGTGTGGAATGAGCTGGAGAGGTAGAAAAAGAGAATACTGAACACTGGGTATTGCAGCCACCAGCAGTGGAATGGTTCTGATTAGTTAATGTCTGTGGTGCCAGTCAAGCCTTAGACAAAAGAGATGGGGACCACAAACTGTCTCCCTAGTATATACAAAGTGAATAAAGAAGGTGTTCTGTTGCATGAGCAACCTGTCATCATCATCAGATGATTAATTTCTTTGTTTTCTGAGAAATATGGACTAAATGCCATAGTCTTGCAGCCTGTTATAACTAACAGGCCTCATCTCAAGAGCAATAGGATTTGTCTCAGCCAGTTAATCACATTTTTAATTAATACCATCTTAATCTGGACGTGTAATACAGGTCGGATGAATCAGTTCGTAAATGTGCCGGTTTCTCTCCGTTGACTGTGATTGGAATCCAGATGACTTCTGCAGATGTGGATGTCTACAGAAGAGATGTCTCGCTTAGTTTTACATGGCTTATGTCATTGGGATTCTCATGTGCCAAACCTTAATGGCCATGTCATGAAATTCAGTTGACCATAGTAATGTTTAGAGACTGTATTTCAAGAACGGAAGTAAAATGTATCAAGTTTTTCCATTAGATATCTAGTGGTATGTACTTAGAAATTAGTGTTACTAGACTATAAAGTCTGTAAGACAGACTACTGAAATAAGCAATGAAGGAAAGGAAATGGCATATTTATAACCACAGAGCCTCAGCTTTGGTATAATCTTGAAGATAAGCCAAGGCAAGATAAATACAGAATTGTAACCAGAGGAGTAAGTTTCTTATCACAGATAAGAATAAATCATTTTAAAATTTGGGCAGATGGCCACTAGCCCAGAGAAGTTCTTAAATATATTGTATGTAATCAGTGATTAAGAAGAATATGTAATGAAGGCACCTGCTGATAATAGTTAATGAGAGTGACTGAAATGAGCTTCTATCAAAGAAGGATGAAGTTAGAGCAGAGACACTAGATGGCACAGAAGACCTCAGGAACATACTCCCTTTCTGGACTGAACCTGCTTCAGGCTACGTGCAAGAGATTGATAGGATGATTCAGGATGGACATGGATGAGGCTAAATTCAGCTTCTTTTGTGTGGTCTGGAAGAGTGTTAAATGTTCAGTAGGCTGTCCAAGACCTTTCAATTCTGGGATGACAACATCAAAGCTGTCAAATTAATTCCTGTTTTGTATATTTTTTTTTTCATCTAGAGGTTTGATCGGAGGTAAGGGCAGGATGTAACTGTATCTCAGGTTGAGACAGACTATTCATACACCCAGCAGCACACTGTACCGTAATACAGATTTGTTGACTCCCATGTACACATGCGTGCGGTAAGGCACAGAGGCTGATACCAGCTGAAACAAAGTAGTGATTTGTGGGCTGTGGTGCTTACTTGGCACATTATTATTGTTGCTATTTAAATAAAATCCTCTATAGTTTATTTCAGGCAAGACTGAAGTAACTACAGTACCATACAGCAGTCAGTAGGAACATTTTGTTTGTGTAGAGGTAAAATATTATAGTTGTTCAACAGATTGCAGGCTTCCTTTTGCTGGCATTTGCAGTTATTTGGGACCAAATCCAGTTCCTAGTAAACTTGTTAGGAATCTTTCAGTCAGTTCCAGAGGGACTTGTATCACTTTTTTTAAAGTTTTGGAAGATGCCAGGTTTTATAAAGTTGGCATTTTAGTGTTTGCTGGGTGCCTCATATGGTGAGGACCAAGACTTCCTTTGGGACTCTGCATAATATGTGCAATGATGGGCTTTGCCATGAAATTGTCTTAATTGGATGGGGTAATGAGGAGGTTAATGGGTCCACCTGGTTACTACTTTAGAAGTTGTTTGTATAATAATACAAGAAATATGGGCAATAAACAAGAGGACCTGAAGTCTGAATCCGTGAGCAACAGTGTGACTGAACTAGCATAGCAAAGATGCAGTGAGAGGATGGGGAGGAGGAAGAAGCTGTTGCTGTTGTGTACTGGGTGCAGACACTTGTGCTGTGACCCAGCTGTAGAGGGAGCTGGGCATACTGATGTGCTATGAGTAATACTAAAATGGGAAAATCTCACGGGCTCCATCGTTACGCAGGCATTGCACAGACCACCAAACGAATCAGGCAGGTGGGGATTTTTATTGCCAGAGTACAAGGGATGGTGGTAATGGGAATTTTAATTAATCAGTCATCTGTTGGAAAACAATAAAGGAGAATACCGAGTGCCCAACATGTTTTGCAATGCACTTACGACCAAATTTTGAGACGGTAGGAAAAGCAATCAAAGGGGAAGCTATTCTACTGTACACCAACTCTAAGGGAGAAACTGTTCAAGAACAGGGAGAGAAAAGGCAGATTGAGCGAGAATTACCCTGGAATGACAAGAGTTCACAGATGTCAGGAAGGAAAAGAGGCAGAACAGCCATGTGCAGGACACAGGACAGCTGGTTAAGCAGTGGGTTTTGAAAACAATATGTAAATCATGAGTATTACATGAGTAAACATAATCAAGCTGTTGTGAAAAAGGTATGGATGGGTGAAAAAGACATAGCCTGCAAAATCTATGGAGTAATTAATGTCTTGTACTCCATACTCTGCCTAACTCAAATGCTGGGCCTGGTTTTGAGCATCACACTTCAATAATGACAGTGGAGATAGTTAGCTGAAAAACATGACTTGTAGGGGAAAATGTTTACCCTAAAAAGTAAAAGGAGGGAACAATTTTCAAGTATGCACCCCTTCCCCTCCACCCCAACCAAGCAACCAAGCAAAACAAAAACCAGAAAACCCCCAAAACCTCTAAACTCCCAAATACAGATGGAGTGATCTGATCTCTGCATCCAGTGTGGATAGCTTAAATTCTAACAAGAAATAATTAATTTAGACATCAGAAAAAAATTTCTGATATTAAGGTAAGATCAGTTAGAACAGATTAGGTGAGAAATTTATAAGCATATTAGAGATTTTTTAAAACACAGAAAACATGTCCAAAAATGAAACAAATGTGGCTTTGTTTCACTGGCAGTTCAGAGGTGATCTGCTATGGACTCTGTCAGCGGTATCTTCTGTGATTCGCTATTGAGTTTGTGGCATTACTTTGTATTATTACTCTGCTACATAATACATTTTCTGCTCTGTAAATCTTGTGAAACATATTGTACTTCTGAATTAAGATTATACTTTTTTTTTTATTTCAGTGTGTGCAGAAGCTTACAATCCTGATGAGGAAGAGGACGATGCAGAATCTAGGGTATTTAATGTTTTGAGTCAGATACTTATTTTTTCAGTTCTCAGGCACGAAATTTAGGAAGAATAATGTAAATGGTGTTACAGTTCCTTTCCAAAAACATAATTATTATAACATAGTGTAATAATCTCTTGAATTTTTGTGTTACAGGAATATTTAAAATTTCTCTGTAATAATCATCCATGTAGGATGTGAATATTATTCTAAATTACCACACCTTTGATACATGGTCTGTTAATGTTAATTTTTGTGCAATTATATTTGCCCAAAGAGCACCTGCTCGTAAAAGTACTTCTTTGGTGTCCTCATAAGCTTGCAGTAGTTTCCTCAATATTCTAGTGTTTTTCATGAGGCAGAAAAAAGGTAAATTATAAAATCGCTAGGATTTTCAGATGCAATAACTAATGAACTATATAATTTTTTTACTTATGTCACCCTTTTAAAGGCATTTGCTTAGCTTTTAATAAGAAATAGCAGGAGTATGTCTTTAAGACAAGTTTAAATGTTTATATTCTACCTAATTTCTGGCTTGTAAAACTGTCAAAAAGGTTGTCCTGTAGTATCAACGCTTTGAAACCCAGCATGCCTTTTTAAGCATACGAGTTGAATGAAGAACTTGATTGATACATTAACCAGACATCAGGAATGTAGTAAATCGCTGGGTCACTCGGATAGTGTCAAGTCTGTTGTTTACTGTGTGAAACTACTGATATAAATTTAATATAGCTATTATTTCGTAAAGTATTCTTTGGGAAGTAGTCATGGCAAATGGCTAAATCTAACAGTGGTGCTTTTTATAAAACATGTATGCTTCAAATATGATTAGAGAGTAGCAGAGTAATGTTTATGAAGCAATAGTTGAGATAAAGGTATCCAGAATGGCTTGCAGAAATGAACTAGTTTCTACACATGTAAAGATCTTATTAGCTTAAATACATCAGTGCTTGATTTGCTAACGCTGTGGTGATACAATGTTATCATGGAGTGTTTATTCAGATCCTGAAGGTTTTGAAATGGAAGTGTTATGAAGGATGGCCAAAATATTGTGTAAAAATGCTTAGCTGAATTAGCTTAGTCTTTCAACTAGTGTTGCTATATGGTAACCACTTTAAAGGTTTTTCTGTTGTATTCCTCAGATTATTCACCCTAAAACAGATGATCAAAGAAACAGACTGCAGGAGGCGTGCAAGGACATTCTTCTTTTTAAAAACCTAGATCCGGTAAGAGATTCTTTGTAATGAGCAACATTTAGCAGTACTGCTAAGAATTAATTCTCTTGAACTTTTGAACAGAAGTTTACGGATTTGTATTTTGTGAGCTCTTATGTATGCTTTCTTGACCATTTCATAAACTCCAGAAATGCCATTTTTATAACTGATACATTATATAGAGAGAGCCTTTTGTTCACCACCATGAATGATAGTCTTGAAGTACATTACTATGAATGTATACATTAATATGATTGTAAAGTATTGTATTTTCTTATTTTAAATCTTCTTGCTGTACATTGATGTATATAAACTCATCAGTTAACTGGAACCTTTAAATTGTTTCTAAAAGAGAAAGGCAATAGCGAGGTGTTTACATTATTATTTCACTTAATATAGATACCATAAAAACACTACAGATCATTTTCTTCCCTGCTAATTTTATTCTATTGCCTATAAAAATAATTATGGACTTTTAAGAAAGCCTAAATGCAATGAATGAGTGACCTGGATCAGACAAAGGTGATAATGCTACAAAAAAGCACAGAGCTGATTAAGGGAAAAGGTGAGTGTATCAATCAAAACATGCATCCTGAGGTTGGGATGACTCAGAGCAGACCAAATGCTTTCTCAAGCGAATTGATTCAGTGCTGTCAGGCGAGGGAGCATGGGGGAAAGGGAAATAATTATGTAGAGTTTTAAGCATGAGAACAGAAAGTTTTAAATTTGATTCAAGAGGGAGCTAATGGAAAGAGCAGCCTGCAGTTCTGTTTGAAAGTCAGGTGCTGTTCCTGCGAATGCACGTTAATTCATGCAGCAGGTTTCCAGCTCCTGCTTTTGTCTGCACGAAGGCTGAGCCCTGACCCTGGGTGCCTGTTCCCAGAGGGGCCCTGGGGAGCAGTGAGTCTCAGACCCCTGGAGTTAGAGCTATAGGAGGGCATCAAAAGCCTCAACATATGTGCTAATATGTGTGCATTCTTGAGATAGGAGGGATCCTGACACAGATTTACTGTCTCTCTCATGCTGTCTGTTTAGTGGGTAGTTAATGAGCTGTTCACTGCACATGTTCAAGCTAAAGTCACCAAAACATTTGCCCCTTCCACTCCTGAATTATTTTTATGCATAACTTCAGGGATGCAAAGTGGTTTCTGGATATCTGCTCTGGATGTGAAATTGCTTTATTACATTTTTTCCTTATTGTTGCTGTGTCCTGGCTTCCACTTGGCCGGCCCATTGTTATTTTAGCCTGCCAGTGGCATTTTGGCACACCCTGCTTGGTTAGTCTCTGAGCATTTCTCTCTAATGAGCCCTGTGACCCAACAGGTTGTTGTGTGCTCCTATAATCTGCCGTGATGTTAATTTTGAGCTAATGCTTTCCTGATTCTGGCTTTGCACAGTTTCTTGGTAGTATCTGCTTATAGTAGCAATCCTCTGGGTAAGATCTGCTTTCCCTTCCAATGAGAACTAGATCTTCTGGATCTTCTGTCTAAATAGTCATCAGCCACTTGGTCTGCAGGATAGGCATCTAATGGCTTCGTATCAGCTCTGTTGTAATGTTGTGTAGACATAGAGCATTAAACTGTTCCAGTGTGGGCACTTGATATAACCCTTCCAAGGAATATTGAGGAATTACTTCCCCTGTTTGTGGAGGTCTTGTCAGGACTGCGCTGCTGTCTCAATACGGTATCCCCTGGATGTTTTGAACTCCATTTTTTGTGTCTGAATCAGTTACTTGTAATTGAGAATAGTTCCCACAGTCTGTTCCAGGTGTTTAGCAGAAGGCTTCTTCACTGAGTCCTCCTCTTGTGGAGCTCTGCAATCCGAAGCCTTGAAATCTGCTCCTGGGATCTCCCAGTTCTTGTTTACTCCGCTTTGCTCAGATTGTCTGGTGGATTAAGACCACTTCCTTCTGCTTTAAATCCTTCACAGACAGTGTTCTGGAAAGTTGAAAAAGATAATTTTTGTAAAGGAGTTTTTCATTATAATAACTTTACTTATAAAAGGCATTGGAAAGCTACTGAGCTCTGAAGATAGCAAGAGTATTAAAATGTAGCCTCCTTCAGTCTGGCTTGCTCCTTCTGTGGAGCCAAGATCTGTAGTCCCAAGGGGACTTCTCCCACTCCTCCTTCCTGTTCTGCTGCTAGGTAGTGACTCAAGAGCTCTACCACTGTAGCTGAAGTAATTTAAAAGTTCCTATCCCAGCTTTCTCCCTCGCCTCTGCCTCTCCATGCTGCAGCACAAGTGCATGTGGTGCCAGCTGCTGCAGTTCGCTCTCTAGTGTATTAGCAAATAAACTCCTTCATCGTGGGGAGAGAGAGTATTTGCAGCTGCTAAAGCTGAAGTCTCTGGAACAGAAGTCAAGCTGTGTATCGATAGCGTCTCCCGCTCCCACTGTATTTTTCTTGTGCTGAACTTCAGCCTCTTTCTGCTATAGTTCTGTGTGTGGAAAACACTGTTTCAGAGGTCAGTGAGTTAGAGGGGAAGAGATAATGTAAAGTGCTTAATGGCTTTTCTCTGGTGGCCTTTTAGCAAGGTGTCAAACACGATTCCTAGATAGGGCACCACTCTGAAATACAGTACAACAACATGCCCTAAGGTACCATCAAAATTGCATTCAGTACATGATGCTAAATAGAGTCCACATTTTCTGAAAACTTCATCCCACCCGAACACACTGTGTTTTAATTTGAATGGAAGGATACGATAAGGGTGTCATTAAAGCAGAAGGAGAAGTTGCAGTAGTTAGGAGCTGACTTACAGTACTGCTCAGCATTTTAATTAAAGAGTCCATCTGAACAGACAAGAGCCTTCACATAAAAGTGAAAAACAGCAGAACCATTTGAATGTGAAACTAAACGAGAGAGAGGAGAAAAAGATAACCTTCAGACTTTGAGACAACTTAGGACTTTCTAAACACACACAACACTGTCTTGAGTCTGCATTTACCTGATAGCAGTGTTTGAGTGTCAGATAGGTAAACTTACAGACAAGTATTTATAAATGTAAATATTTCATATATTGACTCATTGAAAATACAGCATGGTATAAAGGAACACCAGCTCTGGTACAACTCCCTGCACAGCACTCTGTTTTAAAGGCCAACTCTTATAAATTCTGTAAAATCTGTGAAGTTACTTGAATTTTCTTGAAACTTTCTTTAACTTTGTGGGTCAGTGAGGATGTGACATGTCAACTAATGTCAGTTCAGCAAGGCATTCC